TGAGTGGCTGTTCCGTGCCTACCAGGACACAAAGGTGAACATCCCTTCCCTCATCCATGTGATCAGGCAGACTGTGAAGTCTAAGCCCGGACCCAAGAAGCAGAAGTGGTCTGGTAGCCTCTACCCTGGGAAAGTGAGGAATGCCAAGTGTCAAGCCTCTGTCCAGGGCACAAGTGAAGCTAAACTTGCTGTGTCCTGGCAGATTCCCTGGAACCTGAAATATCTCAAGGTCAGAGAAGTTAAATATGAAGTGTGGATACAAGAGCAAGGGGAAAACACTTACATGCCTTATATGTTGTCCCATCAGAATCACACCTTCTCAGAAAACATTAAGCCCTTCACAGTATATCTGGTGTGGATACGCTGCATCTTCAACAAAAATCTCCTGGGACCTTTTGCAGATGTGCTCTTGTGTAGTACTTAACCTGTTGCACTACCTGTACAGCTGTGCCCTGCTCTCCACTCCATCTGTGGTTTAAAACTTCTTGTCTTGTAGTTTGTAGAGGGCTGGAGAGGACTAGACTGTACCAGTGCCTAAGTGTCCATTTTATTGCACTCCACATGTATTCTTTAAATTATATTTATTTTCAGTGAGTGTTTAAAAAAAAAAAAAAAAAGAAACCTCTGTGTTCTTCAGAGTAACTTCCATCTGAATACGTGTAATTGGAAACAGAATGGAAGTGAATTGTGTGTACCTTGGTCGTGATTTAAATTTGTTTCTATTGTGTGGTAAGTATTTAAGCACAGCATCAAACTGCAGTTAGTTCCATGGCTAGGTGGACAATTCTTATCAGCTTTTTCATTGTAAGTTATTTATTTTTCAATAACTCTGACTGTAACTTTGAGTTCAAGATTTGATACAAGAGCCTTCATTAAACTGCTGTAAATCTCCTTAATATTTTTTTTTGCTTTTTATTGTCTGTCAAAATGGTTATTTTGATAGATTTGTCTGTTGCTGTAATAAAATACGTATGTGGGTAGCTTTTTATTTTTCACGTTTTGGCTGAAGAGAATGAGACTACAGTGTCAGCTTCACATTTAAAATCAGATCTTACTGCACCCCAGTAGCAAAGGGCTGGAGTAGCAGATGGGAGATAGAAGGGATGGAATGGATAAAATAAATTACTGTGGATAAAATAATTTACTGTGGTTTAAAATCTGTGTTCATCTTGTGAGTTACACACAGGTCTGTGTGAAAGGAAGGGGATGGTTTGGAAGAGGTGATGGGGAAGAGATTGCACTTACAGCAATCCTCTCAAAGAAAATCCTTTTTTTGGTGTTTGATCAGAATAATCTGTTGGTAATAGCTGCTAACAGGTACATGCTTTGCTAAGTAATAGGCAGGTGGTTGCAAAGGGAAACTTTCTGAGCACTGGATGCTGGTTGGTGGGAGGAAGCAGAGTCAGGCAAGGGACAGGTAGGTGGGTGCTGTGTGCCATTGGGTTGGACAGAACGCGTGGCAGAGGTCAGGCTGGTGACACTTGCACCTCTGTTGCTCCAGTGAGGGGAGTAGTTTATTCTAGACTTAGACTTGTTTTCCATGAGATCAGAATATGGCTTAGATGCTGGGGTGCACTGCCTACTTAGGACCTGATCCTGCATAGTTCTCTTTAAGGTGGAGACCCTAAATGACACTGTCTTTGAAAAACAGTTCTGTGTCAAAAGTACAGGCCTTGAGGAAGAGAGGTAAAAAGGGGCAGGAGCGTGAGATGTTTCACTGATGGAAGGTAGCATCCTCCATAGTTTATAACCACCGTTAAAGCAAGAGGAAAACTGCTTTCCCCTCTCCCTCCCTAGTCTCCACAGTCCTCCCGAGGTACAACATGGTATCTTCAGGCTAGTGCTACTCTGTCACTTCATTATGTCTCACTTTGTTTTTGAACATGTTTGTGATTTAAAGGGCAGGGGGGAGGAGGGAGAACAGAACAACAATCCCAAAGTCTGTGTTTGCTTTGCCATTGTAGCCTTGCCAACTAATAATTTTTGTCATGATATTTTAAAGGAGCGCTGTTGTTTTCTTAGGGCAAAATGTATTTCTTGCTGAAGTGATGTGAGAATCTGAGCCGTTCCCCAAAGTCTCCACGTGGCTGCACATCACATACCCACAGGTGAGAAAAACTTCATAAACAAGTAGCAGACATGAGAACAGGCTGTTTAGGGAAGCCACCAGGACCTCACTGGCTGATTAGATCCCACTCGCAGCAGGGTTTTGCAGCAACCTTGCATCCCAACATCCATTCAAGTTGCAAGTGGTGCCCACTGGCCAGCCTGCTGGCTGTTACAAGGGTGGTAATGTTGCCGCCCTACAAAGTTGGTATTAAATGAGACTTCAGAAGGATTAAGTTTGTTCAGCATTCATTTTGCATCAGTTTTCAGAAGTATTTTTCTTTCTTTTTGGGTGTGTGAGCTGCCTGTGTTCCCTTAACCACCATTTATCCTGGGCAGGGTATTGGGCTGTGCATTGCTTTCCTGCCTATCTCAGTGCCTTTGGTGGCAATCCTTCGCCCATAATTTGTAGACCAGTCCATTTCACTTAAAATTAGTTTCATATGATTGCAGATTTTCTAACATTTGCAGATTGGTTACAGCACATTAACTGTTTTCTTGTATCCTAATGATTCTAATCAACAAAATTGGCTACAGAGCAATGAAGTGTCATATATGTGGGTTTCCATTCTCTTAACTCTAGGATGAAATGGTCCCTTGCATTCAGAGACTCTCTTTTTCCAGAAGATAATCAAATGTGCTTTCCAAAAAATGTGCATTCAAGTTCTGTCTTCCTCATCAGTGCTATGAGTACTTTGCGAGGTGGAAACAAAATTAAAGGATTTTTCCTTTCCAAATTCTGAGGCAGCTGAACACGAAGGTTGTGTCAGTGATGTGGCCGTTTGCCTCCAACGCCTGCCCAGTGTACGAATGTCTATACCAGAGCCTCTCTGCTTTATCTGAATTCATTCTCTGCCAGAACGTGCAACACTGAGAGTACATGGTCCTGCCTTTGGCTGCCCTAAATTGAGGATGGTAATGTTATGATGTTTTATACTACCAGAACTGCACTGGAGTGCTAGCATCTTCCCATGGTGAATTTTCTTTCTTTTTGATAACTTTGCTGTTGGTGCTTTGCAGGCTTGTTCCATTTTTTGCCCCTGATCCTTCCCTGTCCCACGGGCTGTTTGTTTCCCTTGCTTCACATCCTCTCACACAGCCTCCAGCCTTCACGTTTCAAGAAATCTCAGTGGGGCTTTTCTCTGTCAGTGCCACTTCTTAATTGATGAGAAGGAATGCTTGGCTGGCATTGCTTAAAATTTCATCCTGTGACAAATGCAGGCTCTCCATGCACAGGGGCTGGGGCTGCATCTCTCCCATGGGTAGGAAGGCAGGACTGGAGCTGTACTACCGTGTTTCCAAACCAGCTTCTTCCTCAGGCAAGCTTATGGGGCTCCTTTTGACAAGTTGTGTTGTGCAAGAGACTCGCACCTTCCACTATTGCATCATTTGTTTTTGCTCCCAAAGAAAATACATTAAGCTCTGTGGTGCTGCCTGGCCCCGTTGTCCTGGAAGAAGAGAAATAGCTGAGATTAAATCCAAAATCTTCTGGGACCAGTGCAGGATGCTAATAGAAAGCTGCCTCGAACTCGCTGCTGCCAGGTTTGGCCGTGCTTATGGAGATGGATCACCTCAGAGGATTTCCTCTGGCTGCAGTTTCATATCTCATTTTAATTAGCCAGTGTGCCAGGAGCAGCCAGCTGCTGTGGGAGGACTGCTTACCGACATGTACGAGGACAAAGAAGGACCAAAGAGAGCATTCACCAGCTTGCATACATGAGGTGTTTGAAGAGGAGCTGCAGGTTGGATGGCACTATGGTTCCTTACGAGACAGGACTTCTCAAGTGTGATAGTGACTTTAATGTAGCCAGAGTGATTCATGCTACTGTTATTTTCTGTTGCTTATAGCCCAAACTCACCCTCAAAAAACGTATCTAAGAACAGAAACATTTCTGAAGAGGCTCAACTCCAACCTGACTTGGACATGTTTCTCAAGAAGAACATGGTGCCACCAGGGCTGTATAAATAGCAGAATTATTTCTACAATATTTTTGCTTCTGGTGTCTGTGCAGTGTAAGGAGGGTAGGTTGAGTGGATAAAAGAGCACTTAATTTTTCCCTGCTGGACTTGGGATAGGCACACTCTTGGAATGACATTCAATGTGATGACTGGCAGTCCATCTGTGCTGTGGGTGGTATGAGAAGCATCACCATCTGCATGTGTGTGAGGCACATCACCCTCTTTATGTAAGAGAAGTCACCTCCCCCAGCATGTCCCCCCCTAAGGGGGCTTGAGCCAAACCCCCCACTACGGCGGGGCTGGCTGCTACACAGCAAGGCAGCACAAATTTACACTGACTGCTGGCCTGGCCCTCCTTGTCACCCTGTCAAACCCTCCCTTCAAAACATGCTGATTACTAAATTAATTGTTGGCACATTCAAACAGATAAACCAAATAGCCTCCTGTTTGCTCAAATAACTTGGCAGCAATCATCACCTTTAAAGCTGCTTAGTCCTGCCATTTAAAAATGTGTTGCCTTTAAAATTTAATTGAGTTCCCTTTGTTTGGTGTTTATTCAAATGGATCCCTTGAATTGCCTGATTTTCCTTCTGGGTCAGCCATGTCCCTGTAGGCATAAAGTAGCATCCGCAGGCAAACCCACTCAGTTTAGCATCTCTCTTCTCTATCCTAGGGACTCCCTGTTCATTTGTCCTTCCTTTGAAGTTATCCTGGTCGCTAGCAGTAGCAGTCGCCTCCTCCGGCTTGGTCAGCGTGGGGATAAGGTGGATGGAGGTGGGACAATCTGCAGGCATACAGTTGCTGGCAGCAACATAATTTTCCCACTGTGTGTGGATTTCCCACGTTGTTTTTATCAGTGTGACATTGCCATAATGAGTCAGTTCCTCCTGCTTTTCAGTCTGCCCAGCAGAAACCTGCTGGGTCACTGTTGCCATCCATGAACAGGTACTGAGATGGCAGCTGCTGTGCGGGCTCCGATGGATCTCTTGCTCTGGGGTGATTTCAACAACATTGAAAAAAAACCAGAGCTGAACACTGGCCTTTCCAAAAAAGCCCCAGGGGCCAGGTCTGCTTGTATGCAGGGACCGTTTATGCCAGGAATGTCCCCGTTGGCTCCTTAGAGGGTGGCAGTGGCTTTCCAGCAGACCCAAGGCTTGGCCTTGGGTGAGCACAGAGCTGTGCCCACTGCTTGGTGGCTCGCCCAGCCCTGCTGCAGGGGGACCTGCCCGGAGGCAGAGTGGAGCAGGGGCTGGTGGCTGCCCACCTTGCAGCAACCTGTGTCTCCATCCAGGTGCAACCAGGTCTGGGCTGGCTGGAGGCGTTATCTGTTACTTTGTTCACTTAATTCCCTCTTCTCTA